GAGATTATATTGAGTTTGAATATGATTGGGTGGATTGTTCAGATGAGGGGAACTGTTGGCATATCTGCTTCTGGTTCAGATGGATGTCCTTATCTTGAAACTACCCCTTTAAATGTCAAAGGAAGATCACCATTGCCCTCCCCTCCGCCCTTAGACTGTCCGACTTGGCACTAGACCACAGTCATTTCACTGTGCTAGGATTCTGGGCATCCACCTGCATTCCAAGCAAGCAATCTGTCAAATGCACACACCTGATCTTCACAGGTTTTAGATAAGAGTTAAGTGTTCATGTGTTTACATGAGTTGCTTAAGTATTTCAGTCAGACCATGAGGTTACACACACCGAGTATAGTCTACATGTCCCATTTCTTTGCAGTGAGTGAAGAGACAACTCAGTTTAGGTGTACACCTTTATTTCCAGCAGCCTGGTCTACAGAGCAAGTTTCATTACACTACAGAGAAACCCTGTCTTGGAAGTATTTTATTCAGAGGTTTAGTCCATTAGGATGGTGGCCTGCAAGCAGTCATGTTGCTAACTTCTAACAGCAGGATTGTAAGGAAGAAACTGCCTTGATTGGAAACCTCAAAGCCCACCCCAGGAGACACTTCCAAGGCCACACCTACTCTGACAGGCAATTCTGCTCTAGGCGTTCAGACACTTGGGGAAGAGCATTCTTACTCAAAGCTTTACACTGCATTAAAGTTCTAAATGAGACAATTTCATCCTAAATTCTGCCCCCTGGGAGTTGCTATATTTAAGGGCTATAAAGTGTTTTCCAAAAGTTAAGGTTGTAGCTCAGATTTTTTTTTTTCCTACTCTGAAACTATAATACTAGAAGTCAGACGATTGGATTAGTAACTGCTGGCTTTGTCATGTGATGTCGCTGTGTGTACAACACACCCTCATTGTAGGCACAGGGGTAACTGTATTTGGGGATATAATTGGATCACGTGTTCAGTCCAAGTGCTTGGCTAGTGTGAAAATTATTTAAAAGCCTGTTGTGACAATTGACAGCCAACTTGGTGGCCATTGGTGGGCCTTCAATCGTTGAGGCTTACCTGTGCTTCTGAATAAAGTGCGGAGGTGGTGGCAAGAGAACAGAACAGCAATGCTAAGGTAAACGGTCCCCTCCGCGCCTGCGCTGTTTCCTGCGCCGTGAGCTCCCTGCGCCTGCGCCTGTTCTCCCGCTCTTTCCGGCGGCGCGGTCTTGGGGCTTGCGGGTGCTCGAAGCCGCCTGTCAGGGAGGATTGAAAGATGCTGAGGCAGGAGGCCTCCTCAACCTCGAGTTCCCCACGCCGAACGCCACCGGGGAGGACGACCCCGCGCGCACGGCCCTCGGCCTCCGCGTCCCGGCGCAGCACGGAAGGCGCGGCGGCCGACAGGAGCAGCAGCTGCAGTAGCCCGGTGCGGGCCACGCCAGGCAAGGATGGCTGACACCAGCAACTGGGGCCTGTGTACCACAGCGGGCCGGGCAAGGGTGGCTGACACCAGCAACCGAGGCCTTGAGTACTTCTGCGGGCTAGGCTGGGCAAGGGTGGCTGACACCAGGAGGCTGGTTTGGTCCTTGGGTACTACAGTGGAGCGGGCCGGGCCGGGCAGGGCCGGGCTGGGGCAAGGACGACTGGCTGGTCAGGGCCCTGGGTACCACAGCGGCCGGGCCCTCCTAGAAGATGCTAAGGGCAGCCACTACAAGTCTTTACTAATGGGGTGGGGTGGGGAATGGTTTGCGCATTAACCCCAACACTGGTGACCACAGTTCAAGGCTAGCCCAGACTACAGAATGAGCTAGTGTCAATTGCAAACCAAATAAAACACGGAGAAAAAAATCTCGACTCTTCACAACTGAGAGGAAGTGTGGCCTAGCTGTGCTAACTAGTATATCCATGTAAAGCCTCAATCACCTCTAGTTTTGTTTAAGGTAAGTTCTCTGTGACCCAGGCTTCCCTTAAGTTCACTAATAGAAAATCCTGGCTTGAAATTTTCAAGCAATCCTTCTGTCTTAGCCTCTTGAATGCTGGATTATGCCACGAGCCACCAATCCTGGCTCAATTTCCTCAGAAGAAAATGTTTTCACTTTTTAAATTTAAACCCCTCTGAGTATGTGACAAGGGTCAGCAGGCAAGGGGACAGGTGTGGAGCTCAAAGGACAACGTTCCTGAGACAGCTCTCTACCTCCACCAGGTGGGCTCTGAGAGTCAGACCTGGTGGGGACTGCTTCTACCCATTGGGTCATCTCGCTGGTCACTCCTTCTTCGGTGAATGGGACATTGTGTGTGTGTTTTCTTACAGTGGAGAGCTGAACTTTGGCTGATGGGTTTTATACTAAAATGGGATGATAGCAGGTTAAAGTGAACATCTCATCTAATTCAGATGCTTGCTGTTAAAAATAGGTCCTTCTGGGACAGAAGAGATGGCGCATCGGTTAAGGGCACTTAACGATGTTCAATTCCCAACACCCACATGGCATCAGATGGAGTTACAACTGTCTGTAACTCGATCTGTTGCCCTCTTCTGGCCACTGTGATGCACAGGTATACATGCCAGCTGAACATCCGTACATTTAAACGGGTGAAAAAGTCCTTCAGGGTAAGTTCAACTCATGTGAAGGGTAAAGCGAGGATTGGCTGACTGGATTTTATGAGTGAAGAAATACTTGTTGAAGTCTTCTATGTTTAATAGTAGGCTAAAGGTGTTTCAGAGAAACAAGCTTAAGAATTATGGAGACATGTTTCCATAAGTCACGAGAATGACCTTTCTGTCTGACAACGCTGAAATGGGAATCTGGAACAAAACTGAGACACAAGACACTTTTATTCTGCGTGTGTGTGTGTGTGTGTGAGAGAGAGAAAGAGAGAGAGAGAGAGCATAAAGTTTTCAAGAGTTAAGTAAAATGAACAGAAGTTCAAAATGGCTTGTAATAAAGAAAACTGGTAGAAAGAATGTGTTCACCGTTTGACACTTAGAAATTCTGGGAAGACATAAAAGTTTATGTCTAAGAAGTTGTTAGATAATGGTGACATTTCTTTACTTTGTAGAGTTGTGCAGTTTTTATGTGTATGAGTTCTCTGTGTAGCCCAGGAGCTTGGTCTCAAACTCCCTGTGTAGCTCAGTTCAGACCTTTGAAGTTGAGTTCCTCCTACCTCAGACCCTGAGCACTGAAAATTCTAGACGTGGGTGCTGCACCGGCTGCTGCATGGTCCTGAGTGTTTCTTGTGACTGCGCTGTTTCCTACCAGCAGGAATCCCCTCCCATGGCTTTCTGCCTTATCCTTAAATGTGAAAAGACTGCATCAGCTAGGCTGGTGGAGGACAAACCTTGATGGATAGTAACCAGCAAGGATCTGAACTCAAGTTTTCGTAACCACTGAGCCATACTGCTGACCTCCAACTTTTGAAGTTTTCTTTGAGATGGGAGTCTCTGTATAGTCCCGGAACTGGCTAGGTCTTCCTCAAACCCACAGAGTTTATTTGGGTTTTGATGCTGTTTGGGGGGTTTCTTTTCTTTTCAAGACAGAGTTTATTCTGTAGCCCTGGCTGTCCTAGAACTCAGATCTGCTTGCCTCTGTGTCCCAAGAGCTGGGATTAGAGGCATGAATAACCAAGTCCAACTACTTTTGAATTTTGAAAAAAATTCAAAGGTAGTGGGGTTTTTTTTGGCATGTGAAAATTATGTAAAATTCAAATTTCAATATATAGAAATAATTTTGAAAACACACGTGTTTGTGGATTTATGTACTACTATTGTACAAGTACAGAGTTGAATGACTATGACCGTGTGTTCCACTAAGCCTGACACACTTGTCATCTGTCCATCACTGGAAATCTTAACCCTGCTGTACAATGTGAGAGATGAGAAGGCTGTAAATGAAAACCTGAACATTATCAGGAAATGATGTCAGTAGACATCAGGAAACATGAGATGCCAGAGTCAATATTTAGAAGTGAAGTTTGGAAAGTCTGGAACTCTGTAGGCCACCAATGGGAAGGCAGAGGAAAAGGGACTTGGTCCAGGAAGGTAGTGTAAGGAGAGCAAAGACATGTGGCATAGGAATCAAAGGGTGTGGAAGAGCCCTGCCTCTTCATTTGCTTGTTTGTTTGGAACTTGTGTGTTACCAGACACAGCTAGGCTATTTATGTACACTGTGTGAAATGTTATGACATGGCTGTAAAGTAGGTAGCATGTTGGCAAGCACCTGTCTGAAAAAGGGCTGGAGCCAAGTAAGCCTGAAGCTGACTGTGACACCGTTTGCATAGGCAGAGACACTTGGTTATAATGTAAACCACACCTGGGAGCTGAAGGGAAACTTCTGATTTTAGCAAGAGTAGGATCAGAATGTCTGCTTGATCAATTCATTTATTTTTGAAGCGAAGTTTCATGTGTTGGTCTCAGCTCACTCTGTGGGTAAGGATCCTCCCCTCTCAAGTGCAGAGAGTACGGGTATGCATCACCACATCCGAACCCAGAGCACTCTACCCACTGAGCTGCAGCCCAGCCCCATGTCAGCATATGTTTGCACGTGATTCTCAAGCCAGGTATGATAGCACATGCCTGTAATTCCAACACTCAGGAGACTGAGGCAGGAGGACCATAAGTTGGAGGCAAGTCTGGACTATAGAGTAAGTTCAACCACAGCCTGAGATACACAAGATTTATCTTAAAAACAACAAGCTGTCAGGCGGTGGTGGTGCTTGCCTTTAATTTGAGGCCAGCCTGGTCTACAGAGCTAGTTCCAGTACACCTAGGACTGTTACACACAGAAACTCTGTCTCAAAAAACTGACCAACCAAACAAAAAATTGTCAGTGATCAAAAGAGACATGAAAGTAGAAGGGGACTGTCTGAGAAGAGGAGGAGTTGGTAGAGTAGGAGGGTACAAAGGAGGATAAAAATGGAGGTTGAGGATGATCAAAATACAATATATACATGTACAAAATCATTATTAGGGAACCCACTATTATGATAATACAGACTAATAAAGTCATTATGAACACAGTTGTCAATCATTTAATTATTCATTATAATTTTTAAATTATCAAATGGAATTTATAGAAAGTAGATGTTATAAGTTTTAGGATTAATACATAATTCCTTAATGCTAATCACTAAGAATACTCATAAATTTTCAAATTTAGGTTCATCATTTGGAAACAAAAGATGTCATGCAAAACACACGGTTGCATCCAATTTTCCTATTGGTACAGCAAGCTCATCTTCTGCACGAGATACCAATTACCCACAAATGTTTAGAACTCCGTTATCTGCTGGAAATCCCCAGAGATCAGGCTATAAAAGTTGGACACCACAAGTAGGATATTCAGGTAAAATTAGTGGAAGATAACCCTGATGCTCTTGGAAAATTGTTAAGTTTTGTAAATTATAAATTGGGCGGTTAGCTCACTTGCAGGTCGTCCCTCATGGATATGGAGAACTGGATGACACGTGTGTCATTGGCCCCTATGTAGCGACATTGCTACATGCTTCCTATTGTCAATAAATGTAACATCAGAGTATTTGAACTGTTTTGACAAAAAGGAAAAAGAATCACTTTCGTGTGATATTGAAGTGAAAACTTTGATCCTAAGAGTATTCTTGAGTGTTTTTCTAATACTAAAATTTTAATTTTTGTTTAAATGTACTCAGTTTTGTTGAGGGATCAATTAATGGATGTTTGGTGTGTACCAATTCTCTAAGGCATATATAAGAATGCCTTGGCTACAGGGTGTGTAAGTGTTACCTGACTTCCTGGGAAAGTAAGAGCAAACATCTGTCCCCCATGGATAACCACCAAAGGACACCAAAGAAAAGAGTCCACCCAACTCTAGCTTGAGACCTCAGCACACTGAGATTGGGGGTAGGATGGGTGACCCAGAGCTGGTGCTTCACTGAGCAGCTCTCCTAGGTGTGGGGAGAGAGCCCTGTTCCCGGAGCTCCCTGCCCGCCTGCACCTAGTCTCCTCCTGAAGCGGCTCCTGCTTATACTGCCTGAGAAGGAACAGCCTCCAGGAGGGAGTAGCTGTGTAACGTGTGCACATGTGATAAGATGCTGCATTACTTTTTAAAGCACATAATGATACATAGTGGCATTTCAGTGGAGGCATACTGCTTATATGATGGTAGCCCCATTGCCTAGTGCTGTCATTATACCTTTTATAGATAAGAAACACCTACCTTTAGCGCCAGTCACCATCTCAATAGCACCACCTGCTGGGGGCCACCCCTCAACTCATGGCTGAGATCCTTTCACTCCCAACCACAGACTCAGGATTTTTATGGTTATTTTGTGTATATATATGTGTATTTTTATTTTTGTGTTCCTTTACTGTATTCATTTTTCTGGTTCTTCTACAACAAGTACAAGTTGATGGCATTGAACATTTGTCTCCTTATCTGAGGCCTCTCTACTTGTCCTCCTCTTGGCTCCTTTTCAGTTCTCTCCCCATTGTGTCTTTGCATCCTGATAGTCTCACACTTGTATGCAGTTACAGTGGACTAAGGCCCCTCAAATGGCCCACTTAATAACCACTGTAGAGGGCAAACATGGTTTTCAGATACAGGTAAATAAGGTCATAGTCTTAGTTGCTGGGGATTAGAACTTCAGCGTATGAACAATGAAGATACAGTGAAGCCCACGGAACCCGCCACACTACATTCAGTACTCCTAATTTGCTTCTCCGTTGCTGTCACATCAAGTGTAAGTATGTGGGCATCATTGTGAGGGCTGCTGACATTTCTCCAGCCGTACCTCCAGCATTTCCCTTCAGCATTGCAGCTGCCCTAAATACAGGAGTCTTTCTCACATTTGAAATTTCATACACGTCATTCGTTCATTCTTTCATTCACTTATTTATTCATTTTCATTCAGTTACTAGTATTGTGGACCAAACCCAAGTTCTGACACGCGGTAGGCCCTTTGCTCTACCACTGACCCAACCTCGCAATCGCCTTTAAAATAAATTGAGTAAATAACAGTACTTGTTTAATAGAATTTTGTAACAATTAAATGAAGTAAATTAAGATGCCCTTGACATGTGATAAGCACTAAGTGAATGTTGATGCTTGGAGCTAGACACTTTGGTAGATGCACAGCACGCGTTTCTGTGTATAAACTTCCACTTGTTGCTTATAACCAGCTCTTGAATAGACACGACAGTTACTACATTATCCTTTTTGCTTTATGGTTACTTATAAAATAATTTTAGCAATTATATAAATATAGAATAAGGTAAATAATATGTATTTTAACCCAAAATTCAAAATTCTTTTAATGACTTTATTTCATTAAATTGCAAAATAAACCAATGTATAAATTTATCTTCTATGTGTAAAATTAAGGCTTGGAATGTGAGCTCATCCCAGAAGTTAGAAAACTGTAGCCAGATACAGGGATAGCCACTTCCAAGTTTTTTAAAACCTCACAAGCTGGCAGACAGTGGTTGGTAGTATCTGTAATCTCAATACTTCTTGAGAAGTGGAGGCAGGGTTGCCTCAAATTGAAGGCCAGTCTGTTCTCCTTAACAAGTTCAAAGTTGCTAGGGATATACATTCTGTCTCAAAATTACGGCAAACAATCCTTAATGTGAAGTTAAGTTTTGACATAATTTTTTTTTTGAGACAATGTTTCTCTGTGTAGCATTCCTGGCTACCCTGGAACTCAATTTGTAGGCCAGGCTGGCTTTGAACTCACAGGGATCTGCCTCCAGAGTGCTGGGATTAAAGGTGTGCACCACCACGCTCAATCTGACACAATACTTTGAACTTTAATAGTTATATTTGGTTTGGGTAATAGAGTTTTTGGTTTGTTTGTTTGTTTGTTTTTAAATGTTCACCAGGCGGTGGTGGTGCATGCCTTTAATCCTAGCCCATGGGAGGCAGAGGCAGGTGGATCCCTTCAGGACAGCCAGAACACATAGAAACTCTGTCTTGAAAAACTAAAGCAAGCAGGCAAACAAAGATGATAATGATTCCTCTTTTGGATGTATTAACTAGATGCACCTGTACAAGATCCGTGCAAGGTCAAGGCAGCAAGATCAGCCACCATCCTGCAGGCAGCACTAGTCAGATTCATTAGAGAAAAGATAGGTGGAGGCACTTGGAGTGGTACTCTGTGTGGAGTTGGCAGTGGGTTGGTCAGTGTGCATTGTGTTTCACATGTGACGTTATCAAAGAATAAATAAGACAAAGATAGCTAGATTCGAGACTTTGAGGCCTTACACGAAGGAGCACAAACAGCCGTTCACGTTCTTGTGTATGCTTGATCTGCCAACTGTTCCCAGCCGCATCCTCTGCAGCGTCCGCACACGCCCCGTCCGTCATCGTAGCCGTGGTGGAAGGAAGAGGGCTGGCCAGAGGCGAGATCGGGATGGCGAGCATCGACTTAAAGAGCCCGCAGATTATCTTGTCGCAGTTCGCAGACAACACAACGTATGCAAAGGTGCGTGTTTCTACAGCTACAAATGTGAAGTGGTTATAGACGCACAAAAGAAAAAAAAGCAAGCACATTAATTTTTAAAGTTTTGGATTGGTAATAAATATTTGATAAACTCAAATATGATTTTTAGTTTAGACTGGTAAAAACCAGTGAGTAAAATATGGTCTATGTTCTGATATTTCATATTTGTATTTAGGTGGAGATTTTAATACATCAGCATTTGAAATACATTTTAACTGCAACATTGAATTAGGACTGTTGGAGTTTATCTGCACATCTTAACGATTTGCTTCTTAGAATAATGCAGAACTGCTTTGGAAACTGTTCTTTGCCTACATTTAGAAAATGATTATTTTAACAATTTCAGGTGATTACTAAGCTCAAAGTTTTATCACCTTTGGAAATAATAATGTCAAACACTGCTTGTGTTGTGGGAAATTCAACCAAGTTGTTTACGCTGGTCACAGAAAATTTCAAGGTAAGCAAGTTTTCATTCTGGTAGCATTCAAAATTTAGATTGCATTTCATAATATTGTAAAAAGCAGCTGTTTGACTAGCTTTATATTTAAGGTCCTACGGTAGTCAATTCATACCAATTGGAGTCTAATATATTACTAAAAATCACGAAATTTATTGAGAATACCCTCTATTTGACACCTGCATTCTACTTTAAGCAAAACAGAAAAATATATTGAGTAGTTAAAAGGTGTTCTCATTTGATGTCTGCTGCTGTGGTATAACACGGACAAAAAACTCCTTAGGGGAGGGAGCCGAGGGAACTACTTCAGCTTACGATTGCAAGCTACAGATCAGGGGTGGGGGCAGAGGCAGGGGGATCTCTGTGAGTTCTAGGCCAACCTGGTCTACATATTGAGGTCCATGACACCAAGGCTTTGTAGAGGGACCCTCCTGTATCAAAAACAACAAACAAAATATTAAAAAAAATGTGGGGACCAATTCGTTATCCCCAGGACATGAAGACAGGAATTTTCACAGCTAGTGGTCATGTGCTAACACAATCCTGAGTGGAGTAAAGGGTCAAGCCCTGAAAATATTTCAGACAAAAGTATTACAAGACAGAAAAATCAGTGTTATTATTGTTTCTGTTATAACCCAGTCACCATACAGAGAACTTCTTAAGTCAGGAGCAGTGCGAAGTGGAAGGAGCATGAACCTCAGAATGAAAGAAGTCTAACTCTAAACTGGATGGCATGTGAACAGTTACTTGACTTTTCAGAATTTTACTTACAGGAAATTAGAATAAAAGGGCTTGTACAGTTGTTGTGAAGATGAAATGAGATCCTTATGAAAGTTCTGGCCTGTGTGCTCCTGCCTGCTGAAGAACATGCTCCAGAGTCCACGGTTCCCTTCTTCCTTGTCCATTGTTTTCTTGGGGAGAGAAATGTCTTTGAACCAGGGTCTCATTCACTGCAGGCTGGGTAGTTATGGCTGGCCTTGAACTCTTGATCCCCTGCCCTCACCTCAGTGTGGGATCATCTGGCTTTATCCTCTTTTTTTCAAAGGAGGTAAATTCTTAGTTCACACGTTCCTTTTGTTTTCCTCTCTATTTCATTGGACATGGTGCGCAGGTCACCCTCACCTGTTACTCCTAGCCTGTTCTGCCATGAGGAAGGGGAGAGACAGCACTTATGGGTTCTAAAGACTGTAATTGGTATTGAGGGCTGGAGAGATGGCTCAGCGGTTAAGAGCATTGCCTGCTCTTCCAAAGGTCCTGAGTTCAATTCCCAGCACCCACATGGTAACTCACAACCATCTATAATAAGGTCTGTTGCCCTCTTCTGGCCTTCAGGCATACATGTAGACAGAATATTGTATACATAATAAATAAATAAATATTTTAAAAAGAAATCGGTATTGAACAACAGCGTGACATTTGATGATTTATTTTAAAATTAAAATCTCTTTCCAGAACGTTAATTTCACTACAGTCCAAAGGAAATACTTCAATGAAACAAAGGGCTTAGAGTACATTGAGCAGTTATGCATCGCCGAGTTCAGCTCTGTCCTGATGGAGGTTCAGTCCAGGTGAGCGCTGGCTGCTCCCCGGGGGATCTCGTCTCTGTCCTGTGCTTGCTGTGTTGCTGTCATCTAGAAAACGGTCTGGCCCACAATGCACATCTAGTTATTACTGAAATACATTTTTGTACAAGGTATATATTTATGATTTAAGTATATTTAGATTTTATATTATAATTATATATTTAGATTTTCTCCAAATGAGTTATAATTTATTGCTCTCATAGTAGCTGCTCATTTACTTCATAGTGAAAATATTAATTAACTATAGGATGCTAGAAATTTGAGTCCCAGAAGAAAAACACAGTTAGCCAGACATGGAGGCCCATGGTTGTGATCTTAGTTAGCACTCTAGGGGGCCGAGACAGGAGGATTGTTGCAAGTTTGAGGCCAGTTAGAACTATATAGTAAATTCTTGGCTAGTCAGGCCCACAAAGTGAGACTGTCAGCCAGGTAGCGATGCCACACTCCTTTAATCCCAGCACTCAGGAGGCAGAGATAGGTGGATCTCTGAGTTCAAGTCCAGTCTGGTCTTCAGAGTGAAACAAAACCAAAAAGAAAAGAAAAGAAAAAAAAATTAAAATTATTTCCCCCCCCCCACTCGTTTTCTTTTCCGCCCCACCCACTCCATCTTTCTCTGTATCCCTGGCTGACCCGGAATGTGCTGTGTAGACCATATTGGCCTGGCCTCTTCAATGCTGGGGTTGGAGACACGCTCCACTCTGTCTTCTGAAGCAGTTGTAAGTGATGAACTTGAGAGCACTGCTCTTTATAGCTGAGTGTAGGGGCCCAAGCCTCAGCATTTGGAAAGATGATGCTCAAAGGTTGTGGTAGATTCCAGACAGTCCTAAACTAGATAGAGTAAGACTGCTTCAAAAACAAGCAAACATTTGTCTAATGCTAAATCAGTTTTATAAGATTATTTAGTTTCTAAAATTGGCATTCTCAATATTTTTTTCTCTCTGGATTTAAGAAATACTGTTTAAATGTTTTACATTTTCCTAATATGAATTGAATATCTCTTTCTGCAGCAGCAGCTGTTTATCTATCCTGAGTTTACACTGCTGTGCTGTGCTCACTCACAGGCGTCC